GGGGGCATGGGCTACTCTACAGAGGCAGCAGCCACTGACAGGCCTCTGATGAGGGAGAGGTCACTCACAGGGCCACTATCTCTGGGCGATGACCCATTCATTTCTCCCTCCCCAGCTCTACAACATCGCTGCACCATCTCGAAGCTTCCGAGACTTCAAAGTTCAGTTTATCCCCTTTCACTCAGACCTCGGCTACAGGCACAAATACATCTACAAGAGCCCTGAGCTTCCTCGGATACTGAGGTGAGGTGTTCTCTTCTCACCATGGATGTTGTCCTGGGTGGCGACAGCTCAGGCCACACATACGGCAGGCTCGTCCCCTAAAGCTGCCTCAGTGGGGTTTAAGAGCAATTATGATTTAAGAGCCTTTTATTTCCACCGAGACGGGCAGAGAGTGTTTATCACCCCTCCTTCCTGGACCATTCCCATTATCTCCCTGTGGTATAGGTTGTCCGGGCGTACACATAGGAATGCACGCTCACACTCCCCAGTTCTTGGTAGGTCAGGCCTTGGTCCTTTCACTTATACCTGTCAGGTCCTGCCTCTTGCAAACACAGCACATGGGTGCTCTGGTCTGGGCCAGCTCCTGAAAAGCATGTTTGTCCCCAGCTGCTTGAAGGGAAACTGTACTCTGGACTGTGAGTTCACCTTCCTAGGGCTTCTGAGCCTAGGAGTGTTCAAATCAGCCCTCAGCAAGTTTCATTCCATATGTAATTGTACTTCACACTTCAGCTCTCCTCTGCCTGCCTTGAAAGTTTCAGGGGCAAAGCTAGTTTTTTTAGCAGTTTGCCATTCCTTGCCACACTGACCTGGGTTGTTGAGAGGGAACAGTGAGCTGAAAGAGTATGGGTTTGCTCTGATGTTGTAATTTTTCCCTATCATAAGAGGAATGTATTACAGAAAATTGAGACCAGAGTATCACTCTAAAGTTTAAGAAGAGTAGCTTATATCCTGGTTTTTCACTTTGCAATGCTGATGGTGCCCTGCCTGTTGTCCTCTAGGCTCATTCTCCTGCTTTTCATACAGGCTGTGAGAACTAGGGGAGGTGGGATCTCTGTTTTGAGTTCATATTTGGCTGACCATTGTGCTCTGGTCTAGGGAATTCCTGGGGAAGTCGGAACCTGAGCTCCAGCACTGAGCTCACTGCCTGAAGGAGCATGAAGATCTCCACCCTCCTCCCTGTTCCTCTGGCCAATCCAATACCCTGGAGCCTCGGGTGCCAGCACCTGCGATGTACCTGGAGAGAGGACTTGGATGCCAGCTAGGCAGGTAGAAGAGGCTTTGGCAAGCTGGTGGCCAAGAGCATGGATTTTTGTGGAAAATGTGAGTGGCAGGCATGTGGCTCTCTCTCCTGCTGCCATGCAACCTAAGCTCTTATTGGAAAGACAGTGACACAGCAGGCCAGCCACCACCGGCTGGTTAGTCCCACACTTCCTGAACTGGGCATGGAGAATAGGGCAGGAGGCATGAGGTCTTGGGACCACACTGAGCTTCCCAGCACCACTCATGAGAATGTGGGAAGACTTGGGTTCTTTTATCCCTTCCCAGCACTTGCGGAATGGACTCTGATGGTTCCATCTTTCCTGCCCTATGTACCTTGCTTGCCTTCTTTGGTGTCCCTGTCTCCCTAGGCAGGTCCCACCATTCACAGCGGGGGAGGTGCCAGTGATCTGCACTTCCCCCTCTTTCTGCCCACCTGTCTACCTAACCTGGCCCTAGACTGAGCATTTATTTAATAAAATCCTGGTGGTGGTCTCTGTTGCTTTCTCAGTGCTGCCTACAGCCCCACCCAGGACCAGCCTCTGGCCCCAGGTCACTCGCAGAGCCAGACCACATGGGTGGAGCAAGAGTGACTATAAAGTAGAGGAAGAGGGTTTTTATTTCCTCCCTTCTTTCAGGGAGGGCCATCTCCAGATGTGGCAGGCATTTTCCAAAATAAAGGCCTATATAGGTGACCCTTTCAACCTCATGCTTAGCAAGCTTATTGGATGTGGCCATGTCAATGCATGGGTGTTGGGGTTTCACCACAGACCCTGGATAAGCCCCTGACTATTGAAAGGATAGGCTACTGGAATGCAGGGACTTGAGTTCTGGCCTATGAGCATCACCTCCTTAACTCAACTGGTGGTGGCTCTTGTCAAACCAGTTTCCCCCCTCCCCTGGCACTGGTGACCTCTCAGAGAACTGTGACTTAATAAGAATGGGACCTTGAGCTGGCCCCTCAGGGGACTTTTCCTGCCTCTGCTATTCAGGTACAAAGGTGTGCCCCAGCTCAGTATGTAAGCCCACTTGGGACACAACCTCTCCTGATGGTTGGCCTTCCTCCCCTAGGTCCTAAGGCTCTAGAACTAAGCAGTCTTAGCAGGTCAGAAATTCTCACCTGCCTGCCTGTTCTCTAAGGTATTATGGCCAGTGTTAGCATCTGGGGCTTGCTGAGGGCTCATAGGCCAAAACAGGTTACACCTTCTTTCTGAAGCATTTTAGAATTGTCTGTGGTGATCTCACATCTGGGAAATGCACACCTTTTTTAAACTGGGATTGAAAAGTGAGCAGACTCATCCTGAAGTCAGTGTATGTTTCAGGTGTTAGCACTGCCTACAAGACAACACTGTCCCAGGCTGCACATGTCAGAGCTGGGATACATGGGCCCCACCCAATAGTGTATTTCTGTGTAACTGCTCTGCGTCAGAGGCTCTGAGAACCACTAAAACACCATATGCCTCCCTGGGTTGGGCAGCCCCTACATGAGACTGTTGTGCTCCTCTGGCTTTGTTACTGAGGCTCAAAGTCAAGTTTTCAGCCCACCTCAGCCAAGGAAGTGGGTCGTATTGTCTCAGACCTGCCTATTCTACCTGGGTTCTTCATCTTGTTTTTTGTGTTTTTAACTTTTTGTCTATGTGAGCTACCTCAGATTCTTTTCTCAGAGGAATAAGATAGGATATAAAGTAAAAATACAAGCTGTTAGTGTTTTTATAAATGCCTGACAGGCCAACTGAAGATGAGGAAACACAAAATGGGAGCGGTGAGCGAGCAGCTACTGGGCCATCATCTCAAGCAGGTCCAAAGGGCCCTACCTGATGGCCTCTTAGCTTATTACCTTGGTCTAAGCAACTAAGCTTAAACTGTGGGTAAGGACTGACCCCTGGGTTACAAAATCAATGTGTGGTCAGGACCAGTCATTTAGAAACAGAAAAGATGTTTAGCTGTAAACTGCAGTTACATGCGTGTGTCCTGGGAGCTATCAGACAAGGATGGGGAGCGTGCATTCCCAGGGCACATCTCCCCACATCCCCAGGGTCCCACAGTTCTCAGAGTCTTTGGGTAACATTGAGCCCCAAGTTCATATCCCTCCTGGTTTTTGTTTCAACTTGTAGCTATATAAGTTGGAAATATTTTGGTCCCCAGGGCATTCTACCTACCAGGACCAAGAGTAGGTGGTGGAAGACAGGTGCAAAAGAAGTTAATACAATTTAGAGCAAAAATGACAATGTCAAGAGGACAGCTTACCAAGTGACCAGATTTTACAATTCTTTGAAAAGCTGGCAGTTCAGGCACATACAACTCTAAGTCCCATAACAGCTAGGATGAGAGAACTTTGTCTTCAATCCCAGAATTGAATTAAATTAAACCCTGTAATTTAGCCTATTCCCTACCTTATGCTGACCCAGAGTGAAATGCAGGGGCCAAGTCAATCAAGCATAGGCAGGAAGTTTTAATCCGTTTCTAACACATGAGGCAATAACAGCAAGTGGCACAGTGATGGTCACACAGAGCCTAAGGGACAGGGCAGTGGAGGGTGTGACCACAGACCCCAGTGGCTCTGATGAAGTGTATACTGGAGCAAGTCCTCCATGGCTTGGTTCTGTGAGCAGTCAGGACCCAGGATGAGGGCAGAGCTTGTGATGCCCAGACCCAGCATACAAGCAGTAAGAACCTCTGGAAGGGCGCTTCCATCCAACATTGCCAACAACCCACAGTGAAGGGTGCCACCTGCTCCTGGCTCTCCCCTCTGGGCAGCTGAGTTGCTCACTTGCCCTTTCTGGCACCAGCCTGCTATCTGGGCAGAGTAGAAAATGGGCTACCTGCTGGGCCCACTCAGTCTTTTTCCAGACCAGCTTCTGGCATTGGTAGAAAAGGAGGGAGAAGAGAGGCCTTGTATGTAAGACAGGAAATGCACCCTCCAGGCCTGGGTGCAACCCTGCCACAGGCTCCCACGGCCAGGCAAAAACATCCCAGAATTGCTTCCCCTGGCACAAAATTTCAAAAGTACAATTTTTAGTTACTAAACAAGAAAAGGCTTCAGCTAGTTTTATTTTTTTGTGAAGTTAATTTTCTTTTGAAAAAGCAAAATCAAGCTAATTTTGTATCAACCAGCCTTACCCTAACCAAGGCCCCATAGATGCTGGACACAAGTGTTCTCCCCAAATGTAACCCTTAGTTGTCTTGAGGCCCCTTTATCAGATCAATCTGGAAGCCCTGGGCTGGAGCCACCCACAGGGCAGCTATAAAGACAGCTTGGCACACTGGACCCTCTCAGCACGACCAGGAGGAAGAGCTGGGTCAGCACAGCCTGGCCAGCCCAGATGCCACTTGCCCAGACCCCAGAATCTAGAGGCCTAAAACTGGAAACAAGTTCACAGCAAAGTGAGTGGAAGGTCTTGGAGGAGCCCAGCAGGTAGCTTTCACCTTACCAACCTCTGTGGGGTGGAAGGGCCAAAGGGGCAGGAGAGCTAAAGCTGTGGGACCAGCTGGTCAGTACTATGATCTCTTCTTTCCTGCCAGAAACCAGGCAGCATCTCACTCTCAGCAACTTTCCTACCCTGTCTATCTAGCCCCCTGCCCCCTGCCCCCTGCCCCAAGCCCCAAGCCACCACCATGATCTCCACATCCTACCCTGAAACACAGCACTGAAAAAAACAGGGACCACTAGCTGCTCAGAAAAGGGTGTGAGGTGCAGAGTCAAGAAATCAAAAGCCCACTGGTCCTCAGTGTGCTAGCACCTAGTCCCTGGGGATGCTGGGGCATGGGATCTGTAGATCAGAGGGCTCCATGCCCCAGATATCCTGGGTGAACTTCGTGATGGTCCAGTCACTGGAGAACTTGCCTGAGCAGGCAATGTTCCTGATGACCTCCTTGGTTCACTTCTTGCGGTTCTGCAGAGAGGAGATGCTGAGTAATCACAGGCACAAGAGAACCCACGCTTCCAGAAACTTTAGGATGTTTCCAGATAAGATCTTAGCTCTCACTGTGGGGAGCCTGATGGAAGAGGAGAAAATGACAACCATAGCCCCAATTCCCAGAAAAGCTACCAAATGACTAGAGGAAAGGGGCCAGGAAGGAGCCTGAGAAGGTCCTGTCTCTCAAAATGTTTCATGATACAAACAACAAAAACAGAAATATAACCAGGTGAGTATTTGCCACCAGGCAGATTTGATTCCCAGGAAAATGGCCCCATGGTCTTCTGGCCATGGTCCCCGAGAGCCTGGCAGCTGTCCCCAGACTGCAGCCACACCTGGAGGAGCCTCCCACACAGGGCCACTTTCCTTGAGGCCCCATTTAAAGGAAGCAAAGCTTCCAAAGCCCCACCCATCACTCCATTTTCCAGGTTCCATCTGTTCTTTTACAGAGGGAGCATCAGCTGTACAAATCCCTGAGGCCTCATCCAAGAACCTGCTTAAACAGTTTAGGGAAATAAACTATCTGAACCAAAATTTTGAACAGTCACACCACAATCTCCAGTGTCCCTTCCCACTGCTATCCTCCGAGGTGTGCACAGGTGGGACACTCAGGAAATCCCAGGAAAGGGAGGGAAGCAGGCACCTAGGGACACCCTCCTTCACTTCCCCCAGCATAGGACCTGGGTCTTCCCACCATGAGATATCCCATGGGCCACACCAAGGTAGATACACCAGGCCATGGGGCTGCCATGTGGAGTCAGTCACACGCTCCACACAGAAATCTGGGACAGATTGTCCTTCATCATCAAGTGGGAAGCTGGCTTCAGTGATGCTGCCTTAAGACACTCTGCTCTTTACAACTACAAGTCCTTCACTCTACTGATATCAAAGCTTTTACCTTTCTAAGAAAGTGTGAACATTCTCATTTTAGACATGCTTTCTGTGTGCATACTTCACCAGGCCAGTCCCTCTTAGGCTGAGCACCATACCCACTCCCCATGGCCCCCTGATCACACACACATGGGGTGATCAGACTGGGGAACAGCCCATCTCTGCCTCCTCTTTAGAGGAAACTTGTGCCAGGTGGATGGCAGCCTGACCTCAAGAAGTCAAAAGGCACCAGTGTGGCAGATGAGAGGAGAGGGACAGCTAAGATAGTCCCTGGGCGGAAGATGATAAAGAAGGAGCAGGCGCCTGCTCTGGGCCACAAGCTGAACAATAACCTCCCAGGAGTGGCCCTAGACAGCAAAATGCAGATGCATCCTGCTGCTCCTCAGGCTGTGCTGCCCCTACCAACTTGGGGGTCTGAGAACCTTAGTACAGCTGGTACATTTGGGCCTGGCATGCCACATATGTTTCACAATCCACAAACACCTTGAACCTGAAACAGGAGACAAGACCAGCTACCAGGCCACAGCCATCTGTGTCCTTGTGCTCTGGAACTTACCTGGCCATAGGGACTGCTCTGTAAGCAACACTTCTGTCCTGGAGACACCATTGAAAAACTTTATTTTAACACAATGTTCCTTTAAAGAAATGAGTGTGTGCACATAGGTTGGAGCTGCACAGCTGAAAGGTTTCTTCCCTTTCACCTCCCAGGGGTGAGGGCACAGGATGCTGGGAGACAGGCTCTATGTAGCTGTCAGTTCTCAGGTCTAACTGGGCCAAGTACTAGTGACACACACGCACAAAATGCAGGACTAATGAGTACTGAAGTGCATTTCTGTTGATAATTGAGTCAGAAACATAATTCATACAACCATTAAGTCTTTCCTTGATCACAGACCTTTGCCAGGGCCAAGCTTGTGGTTACAATTTGGTCTGACTGAAGCCAGCTGACAGCATTCATCAAAAACAAACAAACAAATCTAACCCCAAAGCAACTAAAAGTGGAATAGGCATCAGTTCTCAGCATTCGCCAGACTCAACTTTTACCAATAGGTTGGAGCAAAGAACTGTCACAATGGCATATGGTACTGATAATCATGTGTCAATAGCATTATAATAAAATACTAACTACACTGTAATTTATGTCACAAGTTAATTCCATTTTAATTACTTTGTGTCACCATGGGCCTGCATTTGCTACAGGGTTATGCCCAGCCCCACCTGTCTCCCAGAGGAGTCCTGCCCATCCTCTTCTACTGAAGAGAAGGCTCAGGAATCTCCCCCTTATCAGTCCCTTGTAACATCATCACCTCCTGTTGATCACATCCATATGGTCAGTTGGTGCTGGGGGCCTGAGGCTGGATTGTGCAACTGGCAATTCCCACCACCAGGGCACCCACAGCACACCAAGTACGTCCAGAGGACACTGCAAGCTCTAAACTTGGGTGTAGTGGAACTTCTCAAGGTGGGTCGCCTGAGCTGTCTATGGGCCACAGGGGTGTGTGAGGGGGGACAAGCTTTATCAAGGTCGGGCTTTACCACCAACAATATGCAATTCTCAGCCCACCACAGGGACCCGTCTGACCTATCTGTGGGGAGGGACATTAGGATCAAAGGAAGGCCTGTCCTGGTTCAGTAGCATGTTGATGATGTCCTTGAAGCAGTCTGGCTCCTTGGGAGAGAAAAAGCCACTAGTGATCTGATCCACAGCCTGCCTTAGCTCAGGCAGACCGTCATATTACTCTTGGGCATTGTACCTTTTGAAGAGATGGGTTCAGTCAGCTGCCAGCCCAGTGTCTCCAGGCAATAGGCACACCCCTCCCTGACCTAGCACTGCCCCAGGCTTTAGGCCTGAGAGGTCTGGCAAGGCAGCTGCTGGCCATGTGGGCTACTGGACCCTGGAGAGATGGTGATGTGCTTTGAGTGCAAAATCAATCCCACTGCTCTTTTTACTGTTTACAGGACCCATGGTCCCTGAAGATGTACAATGGCACACATGGCTCCATTGTATTCCCACAGGAGAGGGCTGCTCAAGAACTTGCAACTCTTTATCCCCACACTGTCTCCAAACCCCTGCCCTGCCCCTTCTACCCCTGCTCCAACCCTGGCCCCTGCCCTGTCCCCATGCTGTAGAACACAACATGCCTGTGGCCATTAGGCAATTGTAAAGAGAGGCATTTGACACGTGTACATTCTAGGATAGAGAGATGGGGCAGAAAGAGTCTGAATGTGAGGTGTATAAAAGGCATGTAAGGTGTGTATTCTCAGGCTGATGAGGATGAAGTTCTGGCTTTTTAGGTGACATTTGAATTTTTACCCATCTGATGCCTGAAGCCTCACCAACTCCCCAGAGAGCATTTAGGCAATTAGACAACATTGTCTTGTCTTTTTAATTATTGCTCAGAATTAGGCTGGGGCCAGCACTCCTAAAGAATATCCAAGGTCATGAAAAATGAAAGGCAAGAAACTGTCATGGACCAGAGGGATACCCTGGATAGGATCCTGGGGGAAAAATGGGCAGGACATTCATAGGAAAATGTAAAATAAAGTATGACTTTAAACAATGACAACATACCGTTAATTAATTTTGACAATGTTCCACACTAATTAGCAATATGCGAGCAACAAGTAAAATGAGAAGTGTGTGTGAAACTCTGTCCAGTCTTTGCAACTTTTCTATAACTCTAAAACTGTTCCTAGACAAATGGGTTACTTTACAAAATTAGGCCAGGGAATGTTGGCAGTGGGCCAGCCTCAAATCCCCAAATCGGTCAAGACTATTCAAAACCCCTGAGGGCTCCCCCCAAAGAGACCAGGGCCTTCAACCCTTTTGGAAACATTTGGTCTGGATCCCTCAGATTTAGAAGTGGAGGAGTACAGAGCAGCCAGCTGCTGCCCAAGCTGGAAGTGAGCAGAGAAGGCCAGAGTGCCCACAGCCACTCCCCACCCCCTGCCAAGTAGAGGCCTGGCCTGAGAGCCCTTCATGACCCTCTATGGGGATCTGGGCAGTGCCCAGGATGATGCCACATCTTGATGGCTTGGGGAAGGACACACACTTTTTCTAGTACAGGGCCTGGACGTCTTCCACTCAAAAGCCAAAGATGAAGAGGTCCCACCATCCCCCCCACCTGTTTCCTCAGCCATCCCACATTGGCACTGTCCATGGTGCCGATGGTGAGGGACCCGTTGAGCATTAACTTCATGTTGTCTGTACCTGAGGCTTCGGTGCCTGCGGTGGAGATCTGCAGTGATAGGTCAGTAGTGGGGATCACTGTGAGTGGGTAGCACAAGAAGACATGTCAGAGAGGATTCCAAAATGGTGGTGGAGTGAACAGAAGCTACATAGACGGTCTCCCAGAACCAAACTGGAATTACAACTATAACATAGAAAAATCGACGGGAAAAAACAACAGAAAAGCAGCTTGCGAGGACCATATAACCAGGGACACTGACTCGATCCTGGTAGGCTTGCGAAGGTGCGAGACGGGGCTGGGAGCCCATGGTCAGCAGCTCGGCAGCGGCCTTAGCTGGGAGCAGCGCCCTCGGGTTACACTCCCAACGGGCTCCACAGCGCAAAGCCGGGACAGAGACTAAAAAAGCCACAGCCACTCACCTTGGGCTCCGGCAGAGGGAGGTCAGACTGGACTGGAACAGTGTGGGGACACTCGGGATTTCGAGGGCACTCAGAACTTTTGCTGAGTTTCTGCCACGCAGGACGGTGGCCATATTGCTCCTTCCCAGGGCTCTGGGGAAAGGCAGCAGCCCCTCCCTCGGAGATCCAACCCTACCCTGTGGGCCATTGAAGTGCTAATTGAAGCTCATTAACAACCAGCATATGCCCCACCCTCGTGGGATCGCCTTAGGGAGCACCTGAGGGAGTTTTTCAATCAACTGACAACCCAAAACCCATCAAGTAACCTCAACTTCTAGCCTCCAAGCAAAAGCTAGAGGATAACAGTACCTTTCCTGGGCTAGCAATTTTAACCAGGAAAGTAAGACTTGACAGTGGTGTTTAACGTGGGTCCTCCCTTGCTCATCTAAACACAGGAGAGGGAGCCACAAATAGCAACACACCAACACCCACAGGGAAAACTTGACAGGCTCCAAAGGCCACTGTGATAGCCAAAATGGTGAAACACAAAAACAGAAGCCAAATGAAAGAGCAAGAGACCTCCACCGAAGATGAGATTAATGTGGAGCAGTTAGGCATGTTAACAGCTAGAATTCAGAGCCATGATCTTGAGAAAGCTCAACAGCATGAGTAAGGACATAGAGACGCTGAAAATAAGCCAATTGGAAATTAAAAACCATCAAAAAGAGATAAAAAATGACATATCAGAAACAAAAAACACATTGGAAGGTTTAAACAGCAGAGTAGAGGAAGCTGAGGACCGGATCAGTGAGTTAGAAGACAGGGTAGAAAAAATTAACCAATCAGAAAACCAAAAGGAAAAAATGATTAAAAAACAGGAAAACATCTTAAGAGAACTGTGGGACAACTGAAAACATAATAATATTCGCATCATAGGAGTCCCCGAAGAAGAAGAAAATGAGCAAGGGATAGAGAATATATTCAAAAAAATAGTGACAGAAACCTTCCCTAATTTGGAGAAGGAAGAAGGCATTCAAGTTCAAGAAGCACAGAGAGCCACAAGTAAAAAGAACCCAAACAGGCCCACACCTAGACACATAGTAATTAAAATGTCAAATATTAAAGACAAAGAGAGAATCCTAAAAGCAGCAAGAGATAAGCAACAGGTTACCTACAAAGGAAACCCCATAAGGCTCTCAGCTGACTTCTCACAAGAAACACTACAGGCCAGAAGGGAATGGCATGAAGTAATCAAGGCCATGAAAAACAAGGATCTGAATTCAAGACTACTCTACCCAGCAAGGCTCTCATTCAAAATAGAAGGTCAAATAAAGAGCTTCCCAGGCAAAAAAAAAAAAAGGCTAAGGGAATACATTAGCACTAAACCAGTACTGCAAGAAAAGTTAAAAGGACTGCTGTAATTAGCAGGGAAGGAGAATAGAACCACACTAAACAAAAATGGCAATAAATAAGTACATATCAACAATCACCTTAAACGTAAATAGATTGAAAGATCCCATAAAAAGACACAGAGTAGCTGATTGGATAAGAAAGCATGACTCATCTATATGTTGTTTACAAAAGACCCACCTCACAAGAAAAGACTTACATAGGTTGAAAGTGAAGGGATGGAAAAAAATTTTCTAAGCAAATGGAAAGCAAAAAAAGCTGGGGTAGCAATACTCATATCTGATAAAATAGATTTCAAAATGAAGGCCATAACTAGAGACAAAGAAGGCCACTACTTAATATTGAAAGGATCTATACAGCAGGAAGATATAACCTTGATAAACATATATGCACCCAATATAGGAGCACCAAAATATATTGAAAGTGTTCTGGAGGACTTCCAAGGAGAAATCGACAGCAATACAATCATAGCGGGGGACTTCAACACCCCGTTGACACCACTGGATAGATCCTCTAGAAAAAAAATTAGCAAGGAAACAGAGACTCTAAATGAAGCACTAGACCAAATGGATTTAATAGATATCTGCAGAGAATTACACCCCAAAACTACAGAATACATATTCTTCTCAAGTGCACATGGGACATTCTCAAAGATAGACCACATGATAGGACACAAACTAAGTCTCTACAAGTTCAAGAACATTGAAATCATATCAAGCATCTTCTGAGATCACAATGGCATGAAACTAGAAATCAATTGCAACAAGAACATGCAAAGACATTTCAACACATGGAGGCTAAATAGCATGTTATTAAACAATGAATGGGTTACCGAGGAGATCAAGGAAGAAATCAAAAACTTCCTGGAAACAAATGAAAATGAACACACAACCACACAAAATCTGTGGGATGCAGTGAAAGCAGTTCATAGAGGGAAGTTCATAGCACTACAGGCCTACCTCAAGAAACAAGAAAAATTTCTAATTGACTCTCTAACCTGACAATTTAAAGAATTAGAAAGCAAACAAAAAGAAAACCCCAGAACAAGTAGAAGGAAGGAAATAATAAAGATCAGAGCAGAAATAAATGACATAGAGACCAAAAAAAAAAAAAAAACAATTCAAAGGATCGATGAAACAAAGAGCTGGTTTTTCGAAAAGATAAACAAGATTGATGGACCTTAGCTAGACTAACCAAGAAACAAAGAGAGAGACCCCAAATACACAAAATGAGAAATGAAAGAAGAGAAGTAACAATGGATACCACAGAAATACAAACAATTGTTAACAGCTACTATGAACAACTATATGGCAACAAATTCGACAATCTAAGCGAAATGAACAAATTTTTAGAAACACACAGTCTCCCAAAACTCGACCTGGAAGAGATAGAAAACTTGAACAGACCAATAACAATTGAGGAAATTGAAGATGTAATGAAGACTCTCCCAGCAAACAAAAGCCCAGGCCCGATGGCTTCATGGGGGAGTTTTACCAAACATTCAAAAAAGAACTAACACCCATTCTCCACAAACTATTTCAAAAAATTCAAGACGAAGGAAGACTTCCAAACACGTTCCATGAGGCCAGCATTATTCTAATTCCAAAACCAGAAAAAGACACTACAAAGAAAGAAAACTACAGGCCAATATCCCTGATGAACATAGACGCCAAAATCCTGAACAAAATACTACCAAATCGGATCCAGCAATACCTCAAAAAAATTATTCACCATGACCAAGTGGGATTCATTCCTGGGATGCAAGGCTGGTACAATATTCGCAAATCAATAAATGTGATACACCACATAAATAAAATGAAGAATAAAAACCACATGATCATATCAATAGATGCTGAAAAAGCATTTGATAAAATCCAGCAACCATTTCTGATAATAACACTCAGCAATGTGGGAATAGAGGGATCATATCTTGACATAATAAAGGCCATATATGAAAGACCTACAGCCAACATCATACTCAATGGACAAAAACTAAAAACATTTCCATGAAGAACAAGACAGGGATGTCCACTTTCACCACTCTTATTTAACATAGTGCTGGAAGTCTTAGCTACAGCCATCGGACATGAGGAAAAAATTAAAGGAATCCAAATTGAAAAGGAGGAAGTGAAACTGTCATTATTTGCAGATGATATGATATTATACATAAAAAACCCTAAAGACTCCATCAAATATCTACTAAACTTAATAAATGAATTTAGAAAAGTAGCAGGATACAAAATTAACGTCAAGAAATTGACGGCATTCTTATACACCAATGATGAACTCACAGAAAGAGAAACAAAAAAAAAAATCCCATTTATCATCACGGCAAAAAATATTAAGATATCTAGGAATAAACTTAACCAAAGAAGTAAAGGACCTATTTGCAGAAAACTACAGGACATTGAAAAAAGAAATAGAGGAAGATATAAAAAAGTGGAATTGTTCATGGATTGGAAGAATTAACATCATTAAAATGTCCATACTACGCAAAGCAATCTATAGATTCAATGCAGTCCCCATCAAAATACCAGTGAGATGTTTCACAGAACTAGAACAAATACTTCAAAAGTTCATATGGAACCAAAAAAGTCCCCAAATAGCCACAGCAATTTTGAAAAAGAAGGACAAAGTAGGTGGGTTCACAATGTCAGATATCAGGCTATACTACAAAGCTACTGTAATCAAAACAGCCTGGTACCGGCACAAGAACAGGCATATAGACCAGTAGAACAGAACTGAAAACCCAGAAATGGACCCAAGGCAACATGCTCAATTAATATTTGACTAAGGTGGCAAGAGCATAGAGTGGAGTAAAGACAACCTCTTTAATAAATGGTGTTGGGAAAATTGGACAGCTACATACAAAAAAAATGAAACTAGACCATCAACTTACACCATACACAAAAATAAACTCAAAATGGATAAAAACCTTAAATGTGACCCATGAATCCATAAAAATTCTAGACGAAAATGTAGGCAACAAAATTTTGGACATCATACAGAGCAAAATTTTCACTGATACATCACCTAAGGCAACAGAAACAAAGGAAAAAATGAACACATGGGACTACATCAAACTCAAAAGCTTCTGCACAGCAAAAGAAACAATCATCAAAATGGAAAGGCAACCCACTATAGGGGAGGACATCATTGCCAATGATATATCAAATAAGGGGTTAATTTCTGGTATATTTAGAGTGCTCATGCAACTCAACAGAAGGAAGGCAAAGAACCCAATTAAAAAATGGGCACAGGAGCTGAAT